TTTATTCTTATCTCTTCAATGAAAATCCATTAGTTGCTGAATAAGTCTGTATTGAAATTAAAATTTTCTCTCACCTGTATTAATAAAGATATCAGGTGCACTGTATCTTCAAATAATGCTTTCTATTTATCTCAATGTTACACATTTTTACCTATATTAATAGCAATGGCAGACTGCCTCCATCTTATACGCAGTTATCGTGGCAACCTACACAGGCCACAATTGCTAGCTATGTTTCAATAGCTATGGTACCATAACATCCTGCCATTTATGAGCCTTAAACTCTACATGATTTATTTGCATCAAGAAATCAATAATAACTAGCAGAATTCAGTTGCATCAGGCCTTTTCAGTTACAATTAGTTTAGTTAGTATTAATATCCATACTGTTACTGCAGTTTATAGCCACACACACTCAGACTAACATAGGCTAGATAAAATATTCTGCAATAAAATACATTTACTGTCCTAGACAGCTGCCAACACCAGTAGCAAAACTATTAAGATATTGCATAACTATTTGTGAGCTGATCCACTTGTTACAGAAAAATAAGTATGCACATCCATTGAAACAACAACTATTACATTTATACTCATAAGAACTCCAGTCATATTATGTGCTCAGAAAGAACACAACTCCTTCACTTCACATTAACGAATTATACATACACACTTAAATTTACTGGAGAGATTTGGTGAGCATTTCACAGTGTGTTTCACAAAAAAGTCTACAATGACTCGATTAGACAGGTTGAGAAAAATGGTTGCCAAGCTATCAAGATATTGAATAACCATTCGTGAGTTAATCCACTTGCTACAGTTGGCATCACAAAAAAAGGACAGACAACCCCAATGAAACAAGGAATATTCCACTTAGATTTATAACAGCCTGAGTCATATTCTGTGCTGAGAAAAACGTAACTTCTTCACTGCAGATGAAGGAGTTATATGCAGGGCCAGATCTAGCTATAGGTGAGTGAGGCGACTGCCTAAGGTCCTACTGTCTGACTTGTAGATTATTTAACTTTTATATTTAATGTTGCATCTATTATGCATTTTGTATGACAATATCTTAATGTTGAGTCCTCAAGAACATATTTAGATCATATTCTAAATTAAGTATGGCATTTTTCGTGAGTGTGCATGCATTTAACAGTGGGTTATGGGGCCCCACAGCTAGCGCTAGTTAGTTATACTCGTTAGTTTTGTGTCAGCTGCTCTAGAGTCACCTTGACCATTGTTATGGTGACGACTTGTATTTTGTGAGAGATGTGGTCTGTCTCGTACATTCCAGCCGAAACAAGAGAATGGGCGAGTTTTCCATAATAAAGGATTCTAATAAGTTCTATAGAAGAAACTGAAGTTATCTTTCTGACCTGTGTGATTTCTAGGGATATTGAATCAGGCTATCCAGTGCTCTGTCAGAACATCATTGATGGACTGTGCTAAAGTATTGATTGATTGATAAGCTTTAACTCGATTAGTGAAGTAATTGGTAAAAACCAGTACATATCAATTAACTCTTTTAGTTTTCGAGAGAAGACCAGTAATATTCGGGACTGTTCTATGTAAAAGAAAATCAACAATTCTCTTTTGTAATTTACCCTGTTTAGGCTAGCTTTTCCTCTCAGCACTTAAATCATACAATGTTTATGTCACTGCTTAATATATTCATGTGAATGTAACAGTAGAGCCACTATTTAAAATTAGCATACATAAATGCAAACCTTGGTACCCTCCAGTCTTTGTATTATGCAAAGTCTGAAGAATGTCTTACCTCTGAACTCTGGGGCTGAGAAACACATTTTGGTTGATAACGATGGCTTAATACATCTTCATGCACTCATAGCTGCTTGTAAAGGGAAATGAGTTATTTGTGTCCATGTTACATTCTCCAATCTGTTCTGGCCATGATTCTCCTTGCTGCATAGCAAGGAGCGTCCATGCTGCATATGGGTCCTTCAGCTGTTTTTTCAGAGCAACTGATGTGGAATCTATTTTGATATGACTTGATTTTTCTGTGACATAAATTGCTTTAACTCCCGCATGTTGTCTATATTCAGGACATTTAACAAACAGGGTCTCATGTGAGACAATTCATTGGCATTTCCATTTTGCAGGCTCAGATTATACTGTAATAGAAAGTCATACTCACACAACATTGTGATTTAATGTGCAATCATCCCTTCCAGATCTTAAAAGCCCATAAGCCACTTCAATGATGCATGGCCACCTGAATGGCGAATTTTATATCACACAGGTAGTGTCAACAGTGTTTGACAAATACCAAACTACAAGCAATTCTTTTTTTTTTTGTCATACAACATCTGCATTTAGGAGCCGCGAGTTTATGATTAGTGTTCATGATTACAAGTTCAAATCATGCGGCTGTGATAAAATTGCTCTGATTCAACAGTTACTGACATTAATATCGACAAGAATTTGCAATCCTGCCATGGATATGCTAACTCTGGATCTTTAATTAAAGCACACTTTAGGAACAAAAATGCTTGCCCAAATTCTTTGGTCCATCTAAGATATGCACGAGCTTTAGTGAGAGCAGACAGTGACGTAGCAATCTCAGAGATGTTGGTCATAGGTAGAGACCAGTATCACATTGTTGTAATATTTGCAGGATAAGTAGAGACTTCTTCTATTCCCACTATATATGCAAAAAATTCCACTTCTTTGTGCATGTGTGCACTCCCCTGGTTTCAGTTTCAAACCCTTTTTCTTATCCTTTAAAGTACTATATTCGGGTTTTCAACAGCAGATTCTACCGTGCAGCCAAATGTCAAGACATTATTCATATTGAAAGGGCATCTCTTCTTTTTCATTGCCTTCAGTGTACACTTCATAAGCCTCTTGAAAGTTGAGGGTGTGTTACACAAATAAAATGGCATGATGCAAAACTCATTCAAGTAATCTCAAGTGCTAAAAGCAATAGTAAGTCTGCTTTTGTCACTTAGTTTGACTTATCAATACCCAAATGCCATATTTAGAGTGTTTCACTATTGGATTCCTTCCAATACATCCAGATATTCGTCTAATAACAGAAATGCAAAGACACAAAAAGAAACCTTGGCTTCTTGTCCTTCTTTCTGACAGTTACTACAGGAAATGACAGAAAACTTTCTGATAGCTGTATCATTCCATCTTTTAGCATCGATTACACCTCAGTGCTGGCTACATTCATATTACTCCAGGGTAGCTTGAACAGCAGTTATTAAGTCGAATTTACATCATATGTATCTATGTCATGGCAAGTTATTTTTGTTTAACCCGTTTGGCCCCACAAATACATTATCATATTCAACCAACAAGTCATTAAAATTCTATGGCTATGTTGAGTATGTTGCCCTAGCATTTGCTAGATTGGGGGTGTTCTGGTGTATATAAGAT